TGCCGTAGCCTTTTCAATGTAGTACTAAAAAGTGATCAAACTTGATTTTGTTTAAGCATTAAAACAGTGATGTAACTAAAGTAAAATCACACACTTCAGTAAATACGGTCTACTGTACATATTACAAGTAGTTCATTCCATTGGCCACTAGATGTCAGTTTAGACTCCACAGTTAAAAAATTGACGCTTAATATATTCACGACCACCAGCTACGTTTTAGCTTACACATCAACTCATTTTTGACAGTTCTAACGTGGTGGATTATGTTCATTAAAACCGTCACAAGGAGCACATCTGTTGTGTGTGCACAATATTTTATTTTGTGCTGTCAAATGCTGAACTCAGATTCACTTCTTAGAAATTCAGAGTATTATTATGTGAAGCGTTTTCAAAGGAATATGACAAACACAGAGTTGAACAAATAAGCTTGTTCAGTCTTCTTGTCTCCAAAACCACAATCCACACGTCCTAACTGTCTATAACACGTGGGGCTCGTACTGAGCATATTCGTAGAGCCCTGGAGAAAAACCCTGTTCATAAAGAAGGCAACTTCACATCTGAAAGCTGTGTCAGCTTATGTATGGAGGACTAAAATGACAGCACTATGAATGCAAATCTGTTGCAGATCTTGGCCATTTAGTGTGATGGATCAGAATTTAGATTAATTCTGAAAGCCTGAAAAGTCTGATTGGCATGGATGGACCTGTCCTGAAATAATTGATAAGTTCCTTATGGAGCCATTATCATCTCCCATTCGGCTGATCAGGCTTCTCAGCTGCTTTATTCGGGCACTCTGGGATCAGGAAAAACTGATGGGAAAACAGGCACTCTGACCTGTGAAGGATCAAGTGTAATAGTGGTCACCTAGAGGTGCACCAGTGAGGAGGAGGCGGTCATTGATCTGATATTTGAAGCCTTTTTTCATCTCCTGTACCAAAGAGCACAATGGCCACACTCACCCTTTTCACTCTGACAGGAATTCTAAAATGTTGGGATTGGGTAGCTAAAGGTGGTTGGAATTACTGTACACAATTCAAGCTCTTTGTTTTATTCATCTGTGAGACTACATGGTCTTTCTGCAGGGGATACCGGTGCAACATGCTTTCGTCAAACCCTTCCCTCGTCCTTCCTAAAGTACTGCAAGCATTTCCCTGTCACCTTGTCATATCTCATGCTACGCACTCCTGGTTTCACATGCTCTGCTTATTCTAGCAGTAGTGTGGCATTAATCTGGGAGGAGTTGGACCTGTGGGTGCTGGAATACAATCACCTTTTTACCTTTGCAGATATTAATCACCAACGTAATTACAACACCTGGCCCATAAATTCTTAAAAAACATCTTTCATGAAATGATCTCCCTGAAAAATACAATTTGTTAATTCTCCCTTCTTTTCAAATTAGTGGCACAGTACAGCAGTCCTTTAAATGTAGTAATGCAACATGACCTGCCCCATTTGATGCAAGTCTTTCAAATAGCCCTTTTTCAAAACTTAAAAGCAGTAGATGTGTTTTAGGGAGTAAACATGGCTCAGCCTTACAAATGCAGGGACAGTGGTAATGACTGCCACTGCAACACAGTTATAGTTGAAGCTATTAATGCACTGTGCCAAGTAAAACCAAGCATCTTACATTTACTGTATGATAAATGTAGTTAGGCTTTATAATTCCCAATCTTAATGAGTGATGAAATGTCTTTTATGTGTTTTACTATAATATAGTATTTACACCATTTACACCTTGGGCTTGTATTTGTTGTTTGACATGCTTTTATTTGTATTATTGTATTGTTTTGTTTTCAGACGGTGCTATATGTAATTAAGCTTGTTCTTACTTGAATAAGAATAAAATATTCTAATTTTCCACAAAAAGAGCATTTGCAAAAGTTGATGAGTCCCCTGTGAGGTGCACTACTGCTATAAAACTCAAATCGTTTGGAGAGACACAATAAAATCTAAAACTACCTGCAAAGGTGTCTGGGACTGATGAGGGAAGGAGTTCAACATAATGTTCTTAATGTTTTTGTTGTTATAGTGTCACATTACAAAACACACGTCCAATAACAGTTTTAGAATATTACCATTAGATCATGAAAATATTTTAGTGATGTGAAAAATCTGACTTTGAGCTTTCCATCTTGAAAACATTGATCATCCCTGACAGCTTTATGTCAAATTACTAGTAGTGCCCCTAGTGGCTAATCAGTTTTTTCTTGGAAGGTATTCAATAAAGCCTCACACTAAACTTCATGACCCACAATTCCAGCCATGGTGACTATGGTTGACCCCATGTGCATTTTACTGCTCTGAAGAATTACTTTAACCTGCTGGAAAGGCCAATTTCATTATTAAGACTATGTAGTTACTAGTTATGAACGCTGTACATTTAAGATATTGGACTTAGTGAAAAGAAGGCAGCATTTGAAGCCTGTAGATTTTGTCATCAGCAAGAAGCATGCAACATAGCAGTGACAGCAACCACTTGTTTATATCATAAGGCATTAAACTAGTCAC